ATTGTTATCGCCGTAAAGTTACATAATGCAGCTTTAAGTCTATATGTAAGATTTCTTTACAGTTTCAGTTACTGCTGTCAGTACCTGTTACCTTGCCGTGTGCTCTGTTGTTTTCTTTGCAGGAAATTTAGTTGTAGGTAACTGTCAAAATATTTTTCTTAGTCACTCTAGTTCTTCTTCTTCTCGGGTCACCATTCACTGCTCCCTTCAATACTCCGCGCATGCCCTTCCTCTGGGAGTCAGGGCTTCCAGGTCCTCCTTTGAGCAGTCTATAATCTCCAAGCAGATCCCTCTCGGTGGCAAAAAAACAGTATCAAATTGTCCAGACAGTATCCATTAGCCAGAGAAGCTCCGCGGCCACCGACAAAAAAACAAAATGGCCATATATATAAAAAGCTAACGATCATTCCCCCACAACCTCTGCTTGGAGAGTAGTCACTCTAGTCAAGATGAAGGTTCAAGCATGAAGTAATAACGAAAATGCTAAGAAACGGCAGTAAAAGTCAACATAAGACAGGTTTCCCCATACGGAATACTTTGTTGTTTTGCCGCTGTAAAATTGCATTGGATGCCTTCAAAGAAACCTTGCGTCATGAATACACGACGTAACAAGGGAAGTGATTAACCTTTACTGCATGTCGTCTCCTCGGCCTTTTCGTGAAACGAAACAAACGAATCCGTCTCTACGTGGAGAGACTGTAAAGGATGGCCACACCGACTTAATTTTATGGATGACATCCTCTGAAGACCCCCAAAGTTGGTATTGTGAATTTGCGGCAGTACTTAGCGACGTACACGACAAGCCGGTACATGCTTTTTTTGCGGAATTTATGAATCGGTACGTATGTACTGATCATGAGTTCTTGGAGTCGTGGAGTTTCGGTAGCCTGGGTGCCCGGCTCCGTATTGTCGCTAACTACCATGGACTACCCAGACCTAGAGCCAGGTCAGAGCCTCGATAAACGTGATCTTTTTTTTTAGGGCAACAGGCGAAAATCAATGCGCGCGTGGATGTCATCCATAAAATAAAGTCGGTGTGGCCTACTGACGAAAGTACTAAGAAACGGCAGTATATGTCAACATCAGACAGATTTCCTCATCCAGAATATTTTCTGTTTGTTTCGCCGCCTTGAAATTGCATTGTATACCTTCAAAGAAACCTCGCGCCATCAATACACAACGTAACAAGGGAAGTGATTAACCTTTACTGCATGTCGTCTTCTCGACCTTTTCGTGAAACGAAACAAACGAATTCGTCTCTACGTGGAGAGATTAGGCCACAGCAAGTAATTTTTATGGATGACATCAGCGCGCGCATTAATTTTCGCCTGATTTTGAAAAAAAGAAAACAAGAAATTTTGTTACCCTCTGACAGTGGTCAACATGCCGAAAATGGGCAAAGATGTCTGTTGCCATGCCGGGAGGCAGATAACTGAAGAGAGGAGACAAGAAAAGGCTCTGATTTAATTTTGTGTGTCTTACTTTGATGCAGTGATATGTGATGCTGGCTGTGTATATGATGTTCGCATTGAATAAAAACCATTTGTACAATGATTGAGTCAACATTTTAAAACGTAGGAACCTTGTTTTTTTCCGCCCGCCTTGTTTTTTTTTTTTGGAGTCGGCGGAGGATGTCATCCATAAAATTTACTTGTTGTGGCCTTACTAAGTATCATAGAACTACGATGTAAAGAATTAACCCACTTGCGTGACGCAAATGTGTACACTTCAATCAGAAACTGTAGGTTTTCTTTCTGTAATTGTTAGATATATACCACGTATGTCGTCTCCTCGACCTTTTCGTCAAACGAAACAAACGAATTCGTCTCTACGTGGAGAGGTTACTAAGTATCATAGAACGACGATGTAAAGAATTAACCCACTTAAGTGACGCAAATGTGTACACTTCAATCAGAAACTAGGTTTCTTTCCGTAATTGTTAGATATATACCACGCACACAGTCACAGATGTAAAGAATAAGCCCACTTAACTGACGCAAATGTGTACACTTTAATCATAATCTGCAGGTTTTCTTTCTGTAATTGTCAGATGTATATCACAGTCACAGAGGTAAAGAATCAACCTACTTGTGTGACGCAAATGCGTTTATTTCAATCATTAAACTATAATTTCAATAATTTTTCTGTCTACTTAATGTATTTATCAGACAACAAATGTAATGAATTAGCCTATTTTCGTGACGCAAATGCGTACATTTCAATCAGCAAAATAAGCCAGACGATGCCAGACGTCGACCTGGAAAGTAAACAATGTTAATGTTCTGGAGACATGTCTGGCCTTACAGGCATCCAATGCAATTCCAGAGTTGCAAAACAGAAAATATTCTAGATGAGAAAATGCACTGCCAATTCTTGAGCACACTTTCGTCGTCATTTTATACTTGAAACGCTTGGAATAGCGAAATCGCGTTTTTGGCTCACACTAGTCACAGATATCAGTATGCTCTGGGGTGGGTTTGATTCAAATTAGGCCACACCGCCTTAATTTTATGGATGACATCCGCGCGCGCATTGATTTTCGCCTGTTCTCAAAAAAGAAAAGACCACGTCCTCAGAGGCTCTGTCCTGGCTCTAGGCCTGGGTAGTCCATGGTGGCTAGCGACAAAACGGAGACAACTCTGGCTGCCGAAGCTCCAAGACTCAAGAATTCAGTACATACGTAGAGTGCAGATTCAAAAATTCCGCAAAAAGCCAGCATGTGCCGGCTTGTCGTATACGTCGCTATATACTGCTGCAAATTCACAATACCAGTTTTGCATTTTTATTTGCATTTTTATTTTTGGCCGGAATTTTTTTTATTCGCCCGCGCGCACTAGTTTGGGGGTCTTCAGAGGATGCCATCCATAAAATTAAGTCGGTGTGGCTTTACTACATGAAAAGAAGGGCTATAGACTTAGAAAATCCAGTTTTGCCATCCTGAAAGTGCATTAGATGCCTTTGAAAAGCACACCTGCCCATCTCCATACATGGCAATACACGTGTCTGTATTTAGGTATCCGTTTTGTTTATCTGGTGGCTTCGTGACGTTCTGACGTGGTTTGGCCGGCTGTACACTTACAACATACGCAATACGTCAATACACCAGTAATTGGGGAGCATGTGGAGTACGTCTTGCGTCTTGGCAACGTGTGATTGTATTTGCACAAATCGGTCTCATTTGATTTGAAGCTAACTCGCCATTTCAAGTGCCCTTGTCTGTGGTAACTTTAGCCAAGGATCGTCGGCGTTCTTTCGTCTCAGTAGACGAAGTGTTTAGTCCCAGGAGGTCCCTTCGCCTTCTTTGGCAGTGGCTGAGCAAGCCGATTCTTGAGTGGTATGCCCTACCACATGTTGTGCAAATGAAAATAAAGGATAAAAAAAATGAGTGGTTTCACTTTAGCATAGTGCTTTACCAAGGCCTCCTTACGACTTAGTAGAGTATGGATTTTTTAAATATTCAAACATGTAGTCACAAGACGTGGTGACGGCACACTCAAGTTTTTTCAACTTATATTGATGCCACCACCAACACAGGGGACACATACATGACAGGACAATACTCATTTTCACCTGAGCGAAGTGAGGAAAGTCCTGTTAAGTGCCTTTCCCAAGGGCACAGGATCGGTGGCATGTCAGGACTCGAACCCGGTACCTCTTGGTTCCGAGTCGAACGCCACGCCATACGACCATAAATTTGGTCCCAGGAGGTCCTGTATCTTCTTTGGCAGTGGCCGAGCAGGCCAATCCTTGAGTGGCAGACTCTATAGCTACCACATGTGAAAGGAAAGGAAACACAACGATATACAAGATAAAACTGAGCGCTTTCAGTTCAACATAGTGCTTTGCATTCTATCATATATTTATTTACTTTAAATCAGTCATGTTACCAGTAGGCCTGTGACCTGATTTTCAGGTGTCCTCGGGTATATGAAAGTTACGTACACAAGAAATTAAACTAGTTGCATTGACATTAAGCAAAATATTCACGTTGAAATCGGCCATACGAATCTGTTTTTGTGAAGTTCAGATGGCTTGTTAGCAGTTGCTTTAAAATAGCTATCATTGACGTCAATGCGGCGATGAATACATTTAGCTACAACCTCGAAAAGAGCGCAGCCTGAACACAGCCAAGTCCTTTTATGGAACGTTGTCAACGACATGAAATACTAGTACATTGGCGACGACAATACACAGGAAGAATTATAGCTCCTATGTATGCTAATGGTAGATCCAAATAACCTCAACACAACAATGTTCCCAATTATTCGTGTCTCCAACCGTTTGATTTGCGGTTGCATAATGATGATGCCGCCAAGATATCAGGATACGCGTACGGTGAAGTAACTAGTTAAAACATTGAATAGCAAAGTTCTTTGATCATAACCATTTACTTTTACGAGCCAACGTTTCAATGATCGTCTGTCATCTTCATCAGGGCAATTCTGGCTGGGTTGCGGTTCCGCATATGTCCTTATGATGTAACAAGCCTATGTATGTCACAATTGCACTACGTTCGGAAATGCACTGTTAACAGTAAAACCAAG